AGGTCTGTCTGTCTACATCGCTGTAGGTCTGTCTGTCTACATCACTGTAGGTCTGTCTGTCTACATCACTGTAGGTCTGTCTGTCTACATCACTGTAGGTCTGTCTGTCTACATCACTGTAGGTCTGTCTACCTACATCACTGTAAGTCTGTCTACATCACTGTAGGTCTGTCTGTCTACATCACTGTAGGTCTGTCTACATGACTGTAGGTCTGTCTACATGACTGTAGGTCTGTCTACATGACTGTAGGTCTGTCTACATGACTGTAGGTCACTTATGTCCCAGTAATCAAACACAACTGCACTCACTGTCGCCGGAAGGCGCTCTCAGTAAGAGAACCTGGAGGAAAACCAGGACGACTCAGTAACTTACAGTGTACAGAACTGGAACACCCGAAAGATAAAGTCCATATCTAAGGAGGACATACATTCAAAACATGGTCACATTTCCTCCCAGTAGTCCACAGACGAGCTAGGCCACAACATGACGGCGGACACGTGTGTCGGGTCGGGTTAAAGGACGTCTTCTGTCCCGTACGGGCCTCAGACCTGACTGTTAGCATGCTAGCCTCGAAGCTAACACGGCACCGAGCTGCCAGCAACCAGCAGAGGTTTAAAATAAAATTAAACCTTCATGTTATAGATATGTTCAAAGGTTGTTAGCTTACAGATCACACAGGAGACATAAAGGCTTCATTCAGACACACAGCAGAGTCAGACACGGACTGAAGGACTGCTACAAACCGGACCAATGTGTCTGAGCCACTTCTGTTTCAATGACACAACACACTGCTCCCAGCTCGCTTCAACATGAACAGCTAACCTGCTCACGCGCACGGAAATGTCAATTAATTGCAAAGGTAGTGTGCACGCTTTATGCGAATTTCAACAAAGTGAAGGGGAAACAAGAAGCCGGGCTAACGCAGTCATATGAGGAGGTTCTACTCACACGGTTCTGGATCCTTCGGTTCGGACCGACACAAGAGTGCAAGTTCTTCCACAGAATTCCTCTACAAAGTCAAGCTCTCCTCCCCACGTGTTGACCGACCTGCACCAGTCCAAAAACACACACACACCAAACAGCTGGGGAAGTCTCGCGATATTTCAGCAGTGTGTGGTCCCGGGGTACATAAACTTATTCAAAAATAAAAATATACATACTGTATTTCCTCTCAAAATACAATGTGAACGCTTATTCTGCTTAAAGAAGCTAAAAGT